GGCAGCAAAGTTCCTTGATTATTACGCCGGAATGAGAGTATAGTTCCTAGCCGTATCGGCCTAGAAAATCGCAACTTTTTATTTTACGTCGGTCTTAGTACATGATGTAACTACAGAAGAGTCAAGTTTTAAATAGGAAAAATATAGAAACTCTTTGGCCATTTTTGAGCGAGATGCTAACGGTCTAATCAGATTCAATGATCTATGCTAAGCTACAGCTAAAAGTGCTACCGCCAGACCCGGAGATCGGCTGAATGGATTCGAAAACGGTAAAACTCAACTGTTTAACTTTAGGGGAGTTGGAAAATGAGCCTATTTTCAAAAATAGTGGAGTGTTCCTTTTTGCGCTCCAGTCACATATATGGTTTGTAATCTGATTGAATATGACTTTTGGAAATTAACACTAGGTTCTACAATGCAAAAATGATTTTCTTACTTAGCATTTTTGTAGTATAATAGTATCTAAAAATTCTTGCATCAAGATGCATGTACTTGAGTAAATGTAAAATTTAGTCAAGTAAAATGACTTACGATATTATGTCTTCTTTTCTGAAGAAATTACCAAAATTGTGTTAGTTTTTTTTGCTTAAAACATGCAAACATATGCTTGCCCAATGCCAATGGGGTAAGAAAAATAATCTTAATTCAAAGGCTAAACAAGATTATTTTCCATGTTTCATTGGCAGATATTTTTGCTTGTTTTAAGCAAAAACTTAAAATGTTAATAATTTATTCAGAAAACAAGACATGATATCTTAACTCATTTTACTTGTCAAGTAAATGCATCTTGATACAAGAATTGTTAGATATTTATACTAGAAAACAAGAAAAAATACTAAGCATGAAAATAATTTTTGCAGTGTACAGATTTGTCACTTAGGGGCCATTCGCACAGAATGTATCTTTGCATCTAAAAACGCAAGCACTCAGGAATGTTTTTTTTTAAAAAGCGCAGCCAGAATGCCTCTTCTGCCATGTTGCTGTCAAATAAAATGTTGCAATGGCAACTTGCTAATTTAAACAAAATCTTGCAATGCTTGCCTCGCCTCTGCAGTCTTCTGATTGGTACACTGCTCTGGAGCTGACATTGATGAGCGTGTAAATGTTGAAATTCCTGTCTTAAAATGTGGTGCTCATGTGTGAGACGTTGCATGAGATGCAAGACGCGAGTACATCTAGTGCATGTTTACATCGGAAAAAAAAGCAATAGAAAAGTAGCATAATGGAATGGAAAAACACATTTTGTGTGAACGTCTCCTTACTCTTTCCCCATTTAATGAACTATTGTATGTGGCATTCACTATGTTCAGCTAATAAATACTGAAATTACATCTTTCCAGACACTTTCTCGAGGATGAAAAGCTTTATAAAACAGGAGATGTGTACCAAGACCTTGTTATGTCCATCCATCACAGCCTTATCTTCATTTTGTCAAATTAAATATGCCATCTAAACTGACTAATGGGTCTAATATGAGCCACTCAGCCATCTCTTTGAGCGTTTTCTGATCTTTTCGACTCGCCTCACTTGAAATACAAAAAAATAAATATTTTAAAGCTAATATAAAATCCGCTGAAGGAACAGTTACAAATCAGCGATGAACGGCTGCAATACAAGTTTAACAAACAGTTAAATTCAGAACAAAGGGTGAAATTCAAGAACATTTTGCAATGGACATTTATAATAAGTAAACAATAAATTGACAGTTATCCGTAGAATAAAAAAAGCCAGTATATACTGTATAATTACTCATGCTTTACATCAGGGTTCCTCATTCATGATCCTGAAAGCCGTATATATATATA